GTTCGCTTGTTTTAAATTATGCTGAACTAGGTTTCTCGAAGACTTCTACCTGTAGTCCACTTCTTGTCGTGTTCTTTCTTGGGGGCTCACACAAGATGTAACGTAGACGGCGATGCCACAGTTTTGGCCACCGTTACAACATAACCTTCCGATAGAAAGCTATGCTACCTAGAAGACTACAACGCCAGAGTCATTAGCATACAGTTTAATGACTGCAGCTACAATCATTTGCCTCTATTTTGCTGCACAGCCAAGGCGATGAAGCTGTACTGCTATTTGTGTCTATCATGCTACATAGTCCTATTGTGTAAATTACTCCCCCACCCGCTTCTTGGCTGCTTGCCAGCAGAGGAAATCTGACTGACGACCCACCTCCAGTTGCCGATGAACTTCCTCGGGCATCTGATGCTGGTAGGTTTCCAACAGTTCGATGGTGTGCTGTAGGGGTTCGAACATCTCGTCCGTGGCTGCTTGCCGCTCCTTTACACCGCCCAGGTAGCCCATGGTGCTGACAAGCTGATCGTAGTCACCTGGTTTAACTTCGGCCTCCAGTCCCTTGCTGGTTACCTGTAGGAAGAGGGGAGAGGAGGGATGGGTAAATAAATGAGACCAAAAACTAGTGCCTAAGCATAGACAGGGTGATTTGTGATAGAGGGGATACAGCTCACCACCTGCTGTGTGTAAACTGACGCAAACTCACCTGAACAAACTCAGCGAGCTCGTTGAGGCTGTCTGCGACGTGTTCGATGAGGTGCTGTTTAAACATTAGGCTCCAGCGTTTGATGACGTTGAGCACACCGTGCTTGAAACGTCTGGCGTCTACTCGGAGACAGTTGTTGAACTTCATCGTACCCTCCATCTGTTCGACCTGTAAGTCAAAAAGGCGAATGAGTATGTTCTCTTCCTATGCCATTCCCGAACATGTTGTACGAGGTGCGTTCTATGAACAACCAAGGTAATATTATAGGTGCTGGTAGAACCGAGAAGCATGGAGGTTAGAGTACTTGTTGTGGAGATAAGAAGTGCACCCCAGTTGAGTCATGGCCGCAGACCGGCCGCGCGTGCCGTGAGCACACGTGACGCCCGCCCCCACGTGCACTGCAAACGTTCTAGAACGTCTCGCAGTGTGGGAAACCACGCCAGAACTTTCCCTCTCGTGCGATAGGCCAGGAACAGTCTAGAAGGATCAGCGCCTTATAAGCTGTAGTGGACACGCTGATTGATTCTTCTGCTGTCTCTGTTTTATCGTGAATAAAGACTCTTGTGATCAGAACCGGCTTTGCCC